GGCAACGAAGTCGCGCGCAAACTGAGTCATTAGCCGCAGAATGAGAGCTCCTTGCTGCAAGAACCATAAGTTTACGATGGGGGAAATCCGAGGTCACGGACCTGATTTTGGTCTCCAAAGCTGTCAGAATCACCGAATGAGTTCAGCTCCTGCTGAGCTTGGCCCATCAGAGTGTTCAGCCGCGCCTTCATATCCGGAAGCTTGTCCCGAATGTGGTTCATGAGGACCTGCACAAGACTGAATATGTGGCGCTATGACACGACGACGATTCGCACCTGGTTCAGAGTCTTAGCCAAGTATTTTGTCCCGTTCTTGTGGGCTATATTTCGATATGCGGGGTGATTTTTGAAAAACTCCGTTTCGCTGTTCAACGCGGCGTCCATGCTTTTCTCGCCGTTGATATCTTGCTGGCTACGATTTACGACACCGATAAAGCCAAGCTTGAGCGGGTAAACGCGACCCGTCAAGATGTCCAAGGCATTAGTCCCAGCGTCCATCAAGTCCAGCTTCGTTAACACGCCAATTGTCCTCCGCCCTTGGGGGTCGACTTGGCGGGCTAGCTTGAGAGACTCGGAATTGGCCAGGTCAACATTGGCCGGTGATACAGAAAGGATCACGCTGTGGAACAACGCGTAAACAATTTGCTCCCGGGCGCAGAGCGGGCGCGCACCTATTTGGTTTGGTAATATAATCCAGCACCAGGTTGCGGATTTGCCGTTCAATATCACTTGGTTGATCTCCCACAGGAATCTTTTAACGCGAGTCAGTATTCTGAATAGGATGTTTACGCGTACGCACTTTGGTCAAGCCCGGTAAATCGACGAGCGTCAAGTCCAGAACGTCTGGGCTGTAAATTCGGAGCGATATAGGCAGCTTGCTCACGCCTTGTTCTGCCCTGCCACCCGGAAAGTCTCCTGCTCGATCTCCTTGCGAATGTCCTGAAAGTCGGTGAACTTCTTGTCGATGTGGAGAAATTGCGCCCATTCGCGAAATATTGGGACTGCTTGGAGACGGATCGTTGGATTCGGGTGTGTGTATCAACTGGAGGACGAGTGGCCGGCGCGTAACGATGCCTTGCCCACGGGGAAGAAAGTCCCGACCAACGATGCTATTTTATGAGCCAATTGACGCTCGAGGTCCTAGCGACTTACGTCTCGAGAACACTGGACTTTCCTGCTGATTGACTGCCCACCTAGTAAAGTGAGCGTTTTGAAACTTTCCAGCCAACTCGACTTACAACTACAAGTTGGGGCATGTCCAGCTCTCCCCCTGCATAAAAACGGTTGAATACTGTGCCACGGCATGCGAAGTGGCTGAACTGGCGCACCCAGGTTATTGAAGGTATCCTGGAGCTTGTTCACGAGCTTTATGAGGTCTGTATCCATTTTGCTGCCCGTTCTTTGTGCACAAGAGGTTGTGGTGGAGGAGCAAGAGCTGCCGCGAAGAAGAAACGCGTAAAGTGGTCGGTGGTTTTGAGTGCCGTGACGACGCGCTGCAACACGGCTCAAGTTGGGTTAGGGTTTCATTCAATTTTCAATTTTGCAGTGCGTCGCCGAACGTCCACGCAATTCATTGTTTAATGGAAAACTACATTGGATTCTAGTCTCATGAACTAGACCGCTCACACATCGAGGCAATGGTTTCGAAGGGTAAAATAAACAGGTAAACATTCACATCGAGTTCAAGAACCGGAGAAGATCTTGTCGGTTCGCATCGCGCTCCTCATCTCCCTTTTCTTTCTTGACCTTGAGTTTAATCTTTGACAAAATATGAGCGCTCGTGTGACGCCGGATGCAGAGCAAACCTTTACCTTCTTCCCAGTCAATACACTCCTTCTCTCCTCTTTGTCCTTGGATCGTTCTCGTTCCTTTCTCCGCTTTCGTCGCTTTCTATCCTCCTCCTCATCGCTGTCGTCCTTGTCCCGACTCCTTCGTTTGTGACTTTTGCGGTCACGGGTGGAGCCCTCATCATCGTCTTCCTCATCCCGATTCTTCTCTTGCTGCTCTTCCGGTCGCGTGTCGACGAGGAGGCGTCATGGCCTTTTCCGCGAGAATAATGGTCGTCCCTGTCCTGTTCGTCACGATTTGCATGGCAGCACCTTCCGACGTCAAAACCGGTTATGTGCTTTATGAGTTCAGACGTACCACAGAGTCGGCGCGGTGGCGGTCGCGTCCTCGAGTCGGACTGGGGCTCAGTGTACGATGGTGACGGTGCTGTGCACGTCGATATAGCCCAATCCTGAATATTAAATAAAATGCACTGACGGATTCATGGTCGTCTCTCTCCCTCCGCGGGCTAGGGCTCCGCCGCCGTTTACTCTACCACAGCAAGCCATTTCAGTCGGGCCATCAGAAAGACTGAAGTTCACGCACTGAATATTTTCCCTCGGTTCTCGAGCGAGAGCCAGATTCCACGCTCAAATCTCTTCGAGCGGGTCGAACCTAGAGCAAAAGTGTAAACCCAGAAACAGCGGAATCAAACGACGAGACTCACGCCCGTTCCGACGACCGGTCTCGGTCATTTCTGTGGTGACGAGAGCTGTGGGATCCAGAGTCGGCATGTCGGAAAGATCGGTCGTGGTGGTCGTCGCGGTAATGTGAGTTTCGGTCCGTAGGATATCTCTCCGAGTCAGGAACTGTTGGAGACCGCTCTGTTATGCGCCATTGAAGCCATGGTGTACACCAAGGTGGGTGTAGGCGGAGAATGGGATGTCAGAAAAAGACAGAGGTGAGTCCCATTGGTTTGAATCTTCGTGTTCGGTGTATCTCACCAGTTCGAGACTTGGATGCCTGGTTTCCGTCGGAAGTCTGGTCCCATCTCGAAGTGTATCCCATTGCAGCTGGTGGTGAAGGCGAAGGTGACTGGAGGAAGGGTGAATCCACGGTTCATTGGCACTCCGCTATGACGGCTATCAGGCCTCAAGTTTGAAACATAACATGTCTCGACTAGTATATCGGTTTAGTACACGCGCCTGTCATATGCAAAATATGGTCGCGCGAAAGCTGGGTTCGACTCCCAGGTCGAGAGTTCTTTTTGTGTTTCTTCGGCCTCGTTTCACTCTCTCATGCGGTCAACTGTAACAACATATTCTTGATCCCAGTTAAGTCCGTAGGCTTTCCGCAAGAAACATGAACGTCTACCACCGACTGGCGTTGAAATAAGCATAGCATGATAGTAGAATAGGAACCAGGAGTATTTTATTGAAAGCCCCTACCAGAGTAAGGAGCAGTCCAAAGCAATCGACGTGATCGGATCCAGAAATTTAAGCTTGCTTTCGACTTTCATGTTCTTGAATGGACGACCCATGGGCCAACGCTTGGGGCGAGCCCGCAACAGCGAACAAGCTGCCCCCGGCACCTGCCTTTCCTCCCGCCCGCACCGGCGACGATGAGGAAGACATTACAATTCCCTCTTGGGAGTCTCCGTCCTGGTCAGACAATAATTCCAACTCTCTCTGGGGTGCTCGGTCGCCTGCACTCGACAAGTTTCCCTCGTGGCATTTCCGTATGACGATCTTCCGTTGGGAAAGTCATCCACCTCGCTCCCGGAGGCGGCGGAGGTGCCACCAGAGGCTCCTTCCGATGAAGAAGAAGACCAGGAAGAGGCGCCTGAGCCGGAACCGGAAACTGTGTTTGAACGCGAACCTTCGCCCGAACCTGCGTTTGAATCTGCACCGCAATCTCCAGTTGAAGAAATCCCATTCCAGCCCTCGGTTGCATCGCCAGTACTTTCACCAGTACTTCCTCCGAATTCGCCACCCGGAAGTCCTGATGCGTTCGGCACCTTTGAGACCGGACCACACGGCCTATCATCGGCTTCAGACCCGTGGGCGCCTCCCCATTCCGACTCTGTCCCTGAGGCGGCAGACTCTGCATGGGGGTCTGCCTGGGGATCTTCCGAGGTCGAAGAACGTGCGGACGAAGCTCCAGGTGTCGTAGATGAATGGGAGGCCGCAAAACAGCAGAAGGCTCTGCAGGACAAACACGTCGTACGCCTCGGTTTATTCATTTTGCCGCCAGGCCCATCTCATTCTCCGTCAAGCCACCAGAGCTGCTTGCGTCCATACTGTTGCAATTTACCGAACTCGCAAATGATCTCCACCCGCCTCAACCGACGCCAAATCTGGACCCAGACGATTACCGAGCTAGCCGCCATAAGGGCCTGCAAGGAATCGACACGTTGTGCGTGTAAAGAATTTTTCAAGAAGCTAAACCAACCCTTTTGTAGGAACCCCAATGTTATCCGCCTTCTCCCTACAGATCTCACCCTTCCTCCGCTGCGTCCCTTCCAAAAATCCATTACTGCCAAGCACACCACAGATGCCCTGCGCCTGTCACGCAGCGCCGCATTTGTGCGCTTCAGCCCGCTCAGTCATTACAGCGCGACCAAAGGCTCAACAGCATGGGAGGCGTCCGTCAAAAGCCGCCCCGAGGTTGTGGCTGAACCGGATTTATTGCCACCAGGGTGGCGCATCGTCGAGACGAAGAAGGAGAATGCCCCGGTGACGGACAAGAAGAAAGGCCACGGCGGGCTGCTTTCGTTTTTCGGTCGTCGCTCAGGGACGCCCCCGTTATACCGGGCGGGGATGGCGCAACACCACGCCCTTCATCGCCGGCGTCCTCTTCTCCGCGCGCCAGCCTCGATAGCAACGTCAAGTCCCCGACTTCAGCGACTTCTTCTACGAAGTCGCCGACTACTACTTCCGCCGCTACCTCCGCTGCCTCCGCCACCCCCTCTGCCGCGGTAAGTCCTACTGCTGCGACCCCGCCTCCACCGACCCCTGTGGCTTCCGTGGTTTCGCAAACGAACGTAGATGCCGCAGCGCCCGATCCGATCACCCCCGTCTCTGCGCCGTCCGCCGTCTCGCGCTTCCTCGGCCGCTTCGGGCGCAAAGCCCCGGCCGCAGGCGGACGGCAGAGTCTCGCGCTGTCCGAGGGCGACTTTGACTTCCTCTCCGATATCGACGGCGCTGCCGATGCGGGACCCAGTTCTGGCTATAGCTCGGATTTCGCTATTAGCGGCTTACTGCTCGATGACCCGGTTCCTCTGCCCGCGAAACTTGCGCCGCCACCCCCGGCGCCCCGTGTGCCCGTGGTACCAAATATCGCACCTCAAACTAACGGGCAAAAAGGCCCGGCTTCTGGTGATCGCGATAGAGATGAGCTGGCAAATTTCGGGACATTTACGCCGCCTCCGGCTGCAAGGTCTTCTTTTACCCCTCCACCTGCGAAACCCTTTGCTCCCCCACTTGCGCCGAGCATCTCTGCACCAACACCAACACCGGCGCCTTCCACCATGTCGCCTGTCGATTCGGATGTCGATTTTTCGGCTTGGGGTTTGGACGAGGAGGAGAAGAGCGGCGGAACAGTGAGGAGAGAATCGGAGCCTGTGGTGGGGAGTGCCCGAGCGCAGCCAACGAGGCAGGCGTTGAATACGAGAGCTCCGACGAACACTCGGGGTACTCTGCCTCCGCCACGACGGGTGACCGCGATCATGTCTTCTGGGCCGTCCAAGCCTCCAGCAGCCATACCCACCCTTAACGCGACATCGTTGAGTTTCCCGCCGCCACCACGGACCCAAACACAAACTATCGCCCCGATTTTACCTCCGCCGCCTGGTACCAAAGCCCCGGCCAAAGCAGCGGCTTTGTTGGACGACGACAACGACGACTTCTCCGACTTCCATACCCCCGCAGCAGTACAGATCGGCCCTGCTGCGTCTGCCAACTCCTTATACGACAAGAGCTTCTCGTCCTCCACCTCGTCTGACCGGGGGCTATTTTCATCCACATCTTCCAGGTCGATTCCTGCGAACCTCTTTGACGACTTTGACGACTTCATGGAGGCGTCGCCGAACGAGCCAGCCACGCTCCGCACGCCCTCCCCACCGCGCCCGCCCGCCAAGTCTCCGCGGATTCTGCCCCCCGCGCCGCCGTCCTTCGCTAGAACTCCCCCAACGCTATCACCGACGCAGGATAACGACGACACCCCACTCGCGCTCACGCGGTCGTCACTCCAGCAGAAGCAGAAGCGCGCGGTGAACGACCAGCGCACACTCAGCCTCGTCGAGAGCGCCGCGGCGAGCTCTGGCGTCCGCTGGCCCGCGCCCGAGTCCCCGCTCCCAGAGGCGCTCGCGCCGCCGCCCGATGCGTCAGATCCGTTCGGGTTCAATAGCGGGTCGACGATGCAGTCACAGCAGGCGGCGTTCCTGCGGCGCGAACCACCCACAGCGTCGTCCCCGGCCCGCAACTGGGATGGCACCACCGCCCATTCGCGCGTTGTCGCCGCCTGTGCTGTCTCCGCCCCCGAAAAAGGCGTCCTCACCAATGGCCTTTCCGCCTCCTCCAGGTGCGGCCCCGAGGCGTGCGTTCTCGCCGCCGCCGCCGAAGGTTGTGCCCACAGCAGCGCCGATGGCGCGCTTCCCGCCTCCTCCTGGCGCGACCATGCGTACGTTTTCGCCGCCCGCGCCGTCTCCGCCTTTACAGAAGGTGCCCGCCCCTGCGCCAGCGCCAATGGCGCGCTTCCCGCCTCCAGGCGCGACCATGCGTAAGTTTTCGCCGCCTGCGCCGTCTCCGCCTTTGCAGAAGGTGCCCGCCCCCGCGCCAGCGCCAATGGCGCTTCCCGCCTCCACCAGGCGCGACCATGCGTGCGTTTTCGCCGCCTGCGCCGTCGCAGACACCCATGCTGTCGCCCCCGCCGCAAAATGGTAGTGTGCCGCCCATGCTGACGGCCCAGCGGCAGTCGCCCGCGGCACCGACGCCGCCCCCGATGGTCTCAACTGCATCGGGGAAGTCATCGGGTGGTTTATCTGCACAGGACCTTTCGTTCTTCGAGGGATTGTAATAACTTTAGTATTTACCGTCCGTACCATCGTTATTAATGTAACTGTCGCTGTGATAATTGTTTTGAGGACGGACGCAGATTCAAGCAAGGCAGGCAAATGTCAAATCCGGCATGCAGCATAAATTGAACATGATCACATATGCTACATACGAAGCCAAAACCGCAAGTGAAGATGTATATCTACTCTTCCTCCTCCTCTTCGTTTTGGGCTGAGAAGATGTAATGAAGGAATTGGAGTGGACGGGAAAACATACACGGCGTTGTACCGCAGCTGGTAAACGTCCTTGGACGGAGCAACGACGGCGGACCAGTCGCGGATCGAGTGCTTTTTGAGGAACTTCTTCGTTAGGTACTTGAGGGTAGCGCTTGGAGAAGTGGATCGACGTCGTTACGGTCAGTTTTGAGCCGGCGTCCTGCACACAAAGTTAGTTCTGCTTGTAAAATATACACCAATGTACGCACTGTCGCGGACAATTTTGACGTTGTCGCCGAGCTGGCCTGCCTTGCCCTCGACCTTGATCCGGTCGTGGAGGAATTTTTCAAAGTCGGCGCCATCGAAGATACCGTCCGCAGCGGGTTTTGAGTAGTCAATGACAAACTTGTGCTTGGAGACGGTTTGGTGGGGGCGGCTTTGGGCTGAGGAGGGGAAAATAGCCTACTGAGAAGGGAACTCAGCAAAGCATTTGTACGGACCATCGTGGCTGAGGAAGAGAAAGGTCAGTGCTCGAAATTTGGCGAGTGGCTGACCAAGAACTGGCTAGGCTCACATGACTAGGATCGCAGTCCAAATTCGGCAAGCAAAACTTTTCCTCAGCGATGACTTCCAAGCTTTCAGTGTCTAGCGTGCGCGGGTCCATCAAGGGCCTCCTGGCTGATGCCACCGGCGAGAAGAAACGCAAACTTTGTCGAGACTATTGAGCTCCAGATTGGCCTCAAGAACTACGACCCCCCAGCGCGACAAGCGTTTCTCGGGAACCGTCAAGTAAGTCGTTTTCTTTGGGCGAAAAAATCACGTTCTTATCTTCTGCAGGCTCCCTAATGTCCCCCGTCCCCGCATGTCCATCTGCATTCTCGCCGATGCGGCCGACATCGACAGGGCAAAACAGATCTCGCTCGAGTACATGAGCGTTGACGATCTTAAAAAGTATCGCGCTTCATAAATTTGACTTTCACCGTGCTCACAGA